TTAATGAAATTTTACTGTAAATGACTAAATCGTAACTTATGTGAATGCTTTATCCAACTAATGAATTTTATTTCTCTRAAACCACAACCAGTAACTTAATTCCAATTATTTCATTTTATAAAGTATCGCTTCCACGATGAGAAAAAAAATATTTTCGATTAAATATGCATCTCATATGATCCAATCAGTTAACAATCATTCGAATCTCTATAAACTTGTATATTCTAACTATTAATTGCAACCATGCATGTATTCAAGTAGATGATGTCGACATATATACATTAACAATTCTTTTTTTCTTAAATAAATTTCAAATTATTCATAACTAATTAGCCTTCAAAATACTAGTTGATTAAAGTTGAAAATGAAATGCCAAAATTAGATCATATTTATATTAGTATTTTTCAGTATGTATGTGTATATGACATTAGACTTGGCTGATCTAAAATGCATGTTACCAAGTGTACAGTTTTGGGTCTTCTCTTGAAACTTATGGATTTGGGTCGTTACTAATCGATCATAAAAAATAACGGGAGAGAAAATTTAGGTTAAAAAGCGGAGAGGTTGTATTGTTATTATTATTCAATGCACTTTAAAAGGCTCGATTTTCTCCGAACGTTACAATTAAAAGATTACTATTCCAAGGAGTATTAAAATCATGAAGATCACTATTACTACGAATAATTGACCAATTAATTTCATTTAAGTGTCATGATTACTCATTAGTGCTTTCTCGTGATTAGCAGTTTAAGCGGCAATATCTTTGATTAATTACAAATCTCCAGGTTAAAAGGCCTTGTAAGTTGTAATCTGTAACGTGTTTCTTTTCATTCCTCTCCTTCTATAATATTACTATTATTTTAATCCAATTAATATAAAATACCATTAATGGACTCTCTTGTTCAACATGTATTCTTACGAGATAATTATGCGATCTCTTCCGTGTTTACGCGGGTGTAATTTATTTATATATTTTTTTTTCAATTTTACACTATGAAAATATAAAATATGTATTTTGTAATTGTCCC